TTTCTTATTAAACCTCCAATTAAGATTTTATCAAAAGATACAACTGGATCAGGTGAAGCATCTTCTGTGAGGCCGTGTTCCAGTTTTGGTGACGTCGATGAGTCACTCAGCCCGACTCGGAGGGTTGATCAGATCGGGAGAATTGCTCTCCCTGGGAAGGGCGGCCTCGCTGGGTGGGTCATCTGCCCACAAAACAGCTAATTGCAACAAGCCGTAGTTTTGTTAGCATGAGATAGGCAGGTATCTTGGAAACACTAATTAAAAACCCCTCTTGGACTCTGCATCCTCTGCTTGCTTTCAGCACTAGAGGGCAATATTTTCTTGCTTTTTAGCAGGCAGCACCTGCTCTCACCGCGACTTACAGAGCAGACAGCCCTGCCTGCAGGCAGGCTCTTTCCAGAAGGGTCTCAGAAATCCTCAGGGCCAGGTAAAACACCTTAATTAAGACTCTGATGTTTAAAAATAAGTAAAAAAACCAGGACTTCTGCTCTAAGAAATCCGCCACTAAATCACACTGAATGCTTACCAAATGTCTCAGCCTACACCTGTAGCACAAGGGAATAGGCTGCAAGGAGACCTAAAATTGCACATTTTTTCCTCACTGTTCTGTCCTGCTGGATCTCCCAGCTACTGGGATTGCAGGCTGTCAAAATAATACACTTCACGAGCCAGCTCTTTGCTGCTACTATTGCTTGCATTACTAAAATGTGAGAAGCCCCTGACTTTATACTAGCCAAAACAAAAATATGGTCTTCATCCCAAATGACCTGATCCAAATAACATTGGTAAAATCTCTTCCAGTTAAAAATATTAGTAACCAGATTTAATGTAAACTAGTACATCTGTTGTATGCAGATGTTATAACAAGTACAAGTATTCACACTTATCTAGATGTCTAAATGTTAGAATTGATAAGGAATTTAAACTTGCATATGGAAACCTGGCATTGGAGTGCGTTTTCTTTTTAGTTTGCGCATTGTGTTTGAACTGCTCTGTTGAACTGATTACACTGTTCAGTAAAAAAAAAAAAGTGTGAAGTAATTAAAGTTTATGAAAATAAATCAGCTATATTAGCCATTAGTGGGACATTTTCCGAGGCATAATTGGAAGTTAAGTGCTGTTTGTGCCTTTGAAACTCTCCCCCTTAAAGTTCAACAGCTTTATATTCGCTCAGAAATTCAAATATCTTTGGAGTATTTCTGTGCTATATTAATTTGAAGAACATGAAAATAGGCCGTATTTCATAATTAGCATTACTAATGTAGTTTCATTTTAGAAACTGGTGTTTGAGGCCCTGTGTTTCTGTGGTCACTGGTCAGCATTCATTGACTCTTCAGGGATAAAGCCCAAAGCTGGGTACATTTGATCAAGGAATCAAGGATACATTCATCCAGAGTTGGTCCTTCAGTAGATCTTCAATCTTGCGTTCAGCTGACTTCTTAGACATGGGGCCTTTCCCCAGAAAGAGCAGAGCTCTGCAATATAACTCTGTTGTGATGCCATAGCTGTCCGCAGGAACTGTAATTTTTCTTTAATTCAGGCAGCCAAAGAAAAACAGAGGTTTAAAAATTGCTGCCTCCTTGCTAAATAATACTTCCTGCTTTCCCATAAAATACATTTGATTGATGATTAAAGCATACTGATTTTGAAGATGATTGATTGGGAGAGTGGACTCAACTACTTAAAACTGATAGCACAATAGTGAAGAGAAACAGCCTCTTATTAATGCCATGTGTTAACATTGCATCAGGCATTAAAGCTGATTCTCTCATGGTCCAGTTTTCACAGGGCTTAGTGATTTAAAAAGCATCTTGACCAAATTAGGTGCAACTAATCAGTGGGGGGAATACAGACATTGCAGAAGGCAGTAACATATTGCAAAGGTAGCTGTAAATTGCTAATGAGGGATAGCTGAAATAACGAAGTTATTGCCTGGGTAAATAGGGAAAACTCCATTAAGAGTGAGAGTTGCTGCCTTCCGTCGTCCATCAGGAGAACCAGGTGATAAGTGAGCAGTTTGGCTCTGGCAGGGGGCCAGTGGCGAGTACTTGGTGCGGGGGCTGCCAGCCTGACCAAAGGGCAGGGTGAGCACTGCCTCACAGGGCTGTTGTAAGCTTTTCTCCTTTCCTTACCTCTCCTTGTAGGTAGGCTAAGGATCGCTGATCTAGTTCAGCTTATGGAAAGCAGAGACATCGATGTTAAGCAAACAGTCGTGTTTATCCACCCTACGGATCGAGCTAAGAGACTTCACATCTGCAGCAAGTTAAGAGCGTGTCACCAATTACGGCGCTGGGTAGAGGAGCGGGACACTTGCTGTATCACTGCAATACGGTCATTTCTAGTCTCCTGTCTCCACCAGCGTGCAAGGCTGCGTGGAATGCTCTACGGGTAATTCATCTGGAGGCAGGCCAGAGGTTTCCTCTCATCTTATTCCAGCATAAATCAGAATCAGAACGTCCTTATTTTCTGAATATAAAACTTCCCTTTAGGCTAAAAAAATTTATGTCAACTCTTTCCTCTTTTCCTTCCTTTCTAAGCTTGTATGACTCCTGCCATTTATTAGCAGCCCAATGGTCCATGATACCTACTTGCTACTCCTTACTTATGACTGCTCATTCAATACAGAAACAAGCAAACTGATTTGAGTGAAAAATGACTCCTGTTGACCATTAGCAAAAGTTCAGGGTTTCTATTCACTGCAGAGGAAAAAACAGGGTTTTTTTCCTCAGAAAAGTTTCCAAGAGACTTTTTTACAGAGCTCATGAAACTCGGGTGCTTCTTGAAAGTAAGCTTTTTCTTTTTTCAAGCTTAACAAAGTTGCAATGTGTTTTGTGTTTATAAATGTGGCTTTGCTCATGAGGGGTGTTGATGCCAGCTGCTCACAGCTTACCACAGGTTTTAGAAAACTCTTTTACCTAGGGTGAGGACAGCTG